TAGCAACCATGCTCTTTGTCACAGAATTCAGCAAATGCTACTCTTCACTGCTGTGCTTAAGTCCATTTCCATGTTATGCTTTGCTAGTTCAAGTCCTGAAAAAAATAACAAGTGACTACAGCCACTTGTACCAGGCACCTGCATTCTCAGTGCCGGACTCCTCCCCCGCCACAGGGTGAGATGGCATTGTATGGGGTAGAAAGACAAAACAAATTGTGTCCTCTATTAGAAGATGTCTTAGTGCTTTTTGCTATAACAAAAATGCCATTGACTGGGTGATTTTAAACAACAGAAATTATTTCTCACAGTTCTGGAGACTAGGAAGTCCATGATCGGGGCACTTTTTCTCATTGTGTTTGTACATGGAAGAGAAGGGGGTGGGGAAAAGAGACGGAGAAGGGGGGGAATTGAGAGAGCTTATCTTTTTATAAGGCACTAATTCCATCATGAGAGCTCCATCCTCTTGACTTCCCAAAGGTTCCATCTCCAAATACCATCACACAGGAAACTTGGGCTTCAACAGATGAACGGGGAGTGGGGAACACAAACATGGAATCCATGAGAAAGTGACCAGTGGGCTGATAAGTGCTAAGGAACTGGGGAAAAGGTGCAGTCCGAAACTGAGGTCAGATTGAGCAGGTGACACAGAGCAGAGGGCTGGAGCAGGAGAGCGAGCACTCTGGTAAGGAGCATTGCTGCCACCTACAAGGAGCCTCAGCTTGTCTCCCACATAAAAGTTCTTGTAGCTGGTTAATGTCAGTAGCAGTCTGTGGCTGATTGCATCATTTAAAAATGGTGCTTTTGGCTGGGCATAGGTGGGACACACCACTAATCTCAGCACTTGGGAGGCTGAGGCAGGAAGATCTCAAGTTCTAGTCCAATCTAGGCTACATAGTAGCCTCAAAAAAACAAAACAAAAGCTCTTCTGCCTTCACTTCTCTGTCACTTCCTCTCTGTTGGCCTTTTGTCAGTGTATCAGATATTAGCTCCTGCATCCAAAAGCACTGTGCTCCACAGGTGCAAGGTCCCATGCACGTCTCCCCAGAAGTTAGTTCTGCGAACCTCCAGCAGAAGAGCTGGTCCATATCCTGCCCTAGTTTCTGCTGGCTATGTGAGTAGGAAGGATCTCTGACACTTCAGAAACACAAATGGGGAAGGAGGCCAGCAGAGAATCTGGATGAGTACTTACTTCTTCTAATCAAGAAGATCAGAAAAGGTAGTGCCCACAGACTTTGATTAAAGGCTGTAGCATATTCCTCCAGGCTTGTGAGCCTAAGGGCAGGCTTCCCACTGTGCTTGTGGGCACATTTTGTGCCTCAGTTCTTCTAAGCTCATTGCTCCTCTAGGAGCTGTGAAATGTTTTTCTATTGTAGGTTTCCAGCTACATTCAGGGAAGCATTGTATCCTGGTGAAGTTGGGAGTCTAGAGGGGTGGTAAACCTTCTATGTGGATTCTGGGAGTTCTAAAAATCCAGATGCCTTCAGCAGGTCGCTTGTGACAGATCTGTGATACTGTTGTGATTTTAAATTAGTGTTAATAAGTAAGCATAATTAATTTACCATGTGAGTGAGCAATACTGACAAAGACTTGTTCTCATCCACTACAATAATTGCCATAAAATTAGAAGGAGCGTTTTTTTTTTAAGCTTTAGAACAGATAAATGTTATCATTTGGTTAAATCAAATATTTTTTCCTTGCCCCAAATCCAAAATTCTAAAGTTAAAAAAAGAGTAAAGCCTAATATGATGTTTTCTCAATACCTAGCATGGCTCTGATAATTTCAAAGAGTAGTATGAAAAATTTCAAAAGCTATTCAGAATAAAATTATTTTAGCTGATTTTAATTGACAAGTATGAATTTTCTTTTTCTTTTCTTTTTTTTTTTTTTTTGCAGTACTGAGTTTGAACTCAAGGCCTCACTCTTGCTAGGCAGGTGCTCTACCACTTGAGCCACTCCACCAGCCCCTTTCTTTCTTCCTTCCTCCCTCCCTCCCTCCCTCTTTCTCTCTCTCTCTCTCTCTCTCTCTCTCTCTCTCTCTCTTTCTCTTTGGTGGTACTGAGGATGAAACCCAGAGTTTCTAAGCATGTATACCACTGAGCTTTATCTCCACCCCAATATCTTTTTTCTTTAAATGCAACACTTCCCGAATTTTTTGCCATCCTTGTATAGAAGCTGTGCAGATTTTCTCTGTATCATTCAGACTTTGGTGCTGCTGAAGTGAGCACTGTCATTTTTAGGCCACTCACACACTACAAACACACTCTTCAGTGAAGTGTTACACCTAGGATTCAGTATCATCGACTTATCTGATAAGGCAGAAAACTTGAAATCTGAGCCTTCTGATTCATTGATTTTACTGGATGACCTTGGGCAAGTCATTTAAGCCCTCAGCTTTGGTTATCTTTAAGACAGACAAGCCTATTCCTTCCCTATTCTGATGTCATAAGAATGTGGTTAAAAAGCAGACACTGTGCCAACATTCTGAGCTCCTAAGAGATGAGCACATTTAATCCAATCAGTGAATACCATTCTCTAGTTCTTTAAGGAGGCACTCTGTGGAAAGTCTAGCAGATAATGCTGGCTACACTGCTAACCGTGCAGTCTGAAGGTCATTCTCTCAGACAGCAGGTGCTTCCCCAAGTGCTGTCTCTTAATCATAGTCTTTCATGAGCCTGTCTGGAAAGAATAAAGTTTGAAATAGGTGTGCTATGTGTGTAACTAAACTCAGATATATCTAAACACAGTTTTCTTAATAAAAGTTGAGATGCTTAGGAAGAACTATCATTTGGAAAGAGTGTTCCCTTTAGAAAGTGTAGAATTGTTCATGTTATAAATATGGTTATTTTCCCAGCTTCAGACACAGGTCAAGTTAAAGTGTCATATAAACCAAGCTTCCACAGTACAGCCTTCTCAAAACACAAGGTCAGGGTGCTGGGGTGGTTTAGGGAGTGAGTTTACATTCAGACATTCATACAGCTTTTTTCTTTTTAGTGATGGTACTGAGGTTTGAACTTAGGGCCTCACATGGCACTCTACCATTTGAGCCACTCCACCAACTCTTTTTCTGTGTTGAGTGTTCTCAAGTAGGCTCTCAGGAACTATTTGCCCTGGCTAGCTTCAAACCAAGATCTCCCTGATCTCTGACCTCCTCAGTAACTTGGATTACAGGCGTGACCAACTCTTTTTCTGTGTTGAGTGTTCTCAAGTAGGCTCTCAGGAACTATTTGCCCTGGCTAGCTTCAAACCAAGATCTCCCTGATCTCTGACCTCCTCAGTAACTTGGATTACAGGCGTGAGCTACCAGCGCCCAGGCACAACAAACTTCTTGACTTAGTTTGCAGGTGGATGTTTTGTGTGGAGGTTTGGTTCTTGTTTTTGTTTCATCTGTAGAATGAGAATAATAATAGTAATTTCTACTAGTATTATATTGAAGGTTACCTACCTTTTTTGTTAAGAGTATTTCCATTGGAAATTGGAGGGCTATGGACATGTTTAGAAAATTGAGAACTGAAACTTAGTTCCTCCTTGGCTAACCCGTTTGGGATAGAAGCAAGAAAGCTGCATGTTATAACTTTTGTTTTTCCCTCCTGTGTGATCTCATGGGCTCTCTGATTTCTTCTGATGACCTCTTTTAATTTCTTCTTTTCTGACACAATCCCTAACATTTTGAAACCTCCTCAGAATTAATTAACTTTTCCTGGTCCTTCAAATGCATGCACATGAATACCAGTGGATATTTCTTTAAAATTGAAAAGACTACCTCTAGTCTTTGTCCTGGCTCCATGGTAGATACATTTTAGTTTAAAATCTACAAACCTTTTATCTGAACCACAGGTAAAATTCTTAACTCAAAATTCTAATGATTACCATCCTGCATTTTAACAGTATGTAAGGGTAGAGAAACTTCTACTCTCTTAGTTTATGGGCTTTGGAGCCTGTGAATTAAACTGACTAAAGACAGAATAACAAGTGAAAAAGGCATTCGAATTGTACTGATGTTAGTATTTTTAATTTTACATGCCTTTAGAGTGGTGAAAACCTGAAGTGGTGATTAGACTTGGGGGATTATCTACCATTTTAACAAAGAGTGATAAATTGTGGAGAAGTGACAGACAAAGGAAAGGTGTTGGAGTCCAGCGGGGGTAATTCCTGGGAAGGTGATTAGAAGATACTGGTAGATTACCTTTGGTTTACTGATGTTTTGTCATACAGATTCCTCTCCTTGTAGCCTCCCCTTCCCCTCTTCCTGGTATCTGAGGTGTGTTTGTGTGTGGGGGAGGGCACCTTGCCAAATGGAAATTTCCTTTCTATGCCAGCTACTTGGGAGGCAGAGATAGGATTTTTGTCTGAGGCTGGCTGGGACAAAGTAAGACCCTATCACAAAAATAAACTGGGTGTAGTATACCTATCTGTAATCCCAGGTACTCAGGATGGGGAGGTTGGCCAGGCAAAAAACGCACAAGACCCTATCTAAAATCAAACTAAGGCAGAAAGGGCTGGGGCCGAGGCTCAAATGATGAGTGCTTGTCTAGAAAGCTCAATGCCCTGAGTTTAATTCCTAGTACCTCCTCCCCAAACAGAAATTTATACCCATTCTGGGCAAAAGACAAAATAGTTGGGAAAACATTTTGAATTCAATAAGAATATAAAAGGCAAATATGTATTCAAATATAGTCATTACTGAGGGCGGTGAACAGACATACCTGTGTAAATATGTAGCGCCTCTCCCATCCCCCCATCACCACTCAGCCTTGAAACCTAGCAAGTACCCCGGGTAGCACACTCCCTTTCTAACCTGTTGTTTGCATGGGAAAATGTCCTTTTACTAATTTACATAACAAACAGGCAGCTCATTGCATTCCTTCCGCACTGTAAGGGCTGGCTCTGGTCACATTGGGGTCGCTGACATTGACCTTGACATGATGCCCAGAGTGCATTGGTTGATGTGCATATACAGATGCTCATGTTTCCATCTTGGCTTTTCTGTCTGACAGCAGCGGCGCGCAGGGTCGAGGACAGCCGGCCCCCCATGTCAGTGGTCTAGGATGGCCAGTGAGGGCGCCAGCATCCCCAGTCCTGTGGTGCGCCAGATCGACAAGCAGTTTCTGATCTGCAGTATATGCCTGGAACGGTACAAGAACCCCAAGGTCCTCCCCTGTCTGCACACTTTCTGCGAGAGGTAAGCCGCCACCTGCTCGGGGCTCTCCCAGGAGTCTACCATTACCCAGGAGACACAATGGATCTCTTGTGCTTATGACAGACATCTAGGAACCTGGTCATGAGTCACCAACAACTGCCTTCATTTCAAACAATTGCAAAGAAAGCAAGTCGGTAGTAATTGGTTCATTTCCAAAGGAGATGGAGCATTGAAGGAGTTTAAGACTAAAAAATCTTTGATTTTCCCTTTGCTCTTTGTGAAAGTTTCTGCCATCAGCCATTCCCTCACAGAGCATCCTTCTTGAGGACCCATTAAAAGTCTGTCATTTTCTTCCCTGCAACAGACCAGGTAAAATACCTCCTTATGTTTCATATTATTTCAAAGAACAGAGTTTCCTCCCAACAGATACTTGAACACATGGTGATGTCACCTTTGGACATTAGGGTGTTTCAGATGAAGAAAAAATACTATATGTAAAATAACTAGAAATTACCTGGCTGTAATTCACACATAAGAAAACACGCTTCCTTATTTATCTTTCGTAAAAGGCAATTTTTTGAAAGAGATATCACTCAGTTACCAAACTTTACTCTTAGCCCATTGTTTAACTTACCATATAAGAAATTAGGCATTAAAAACTTTGTGGTAATTAGTTTATCTGTGGTCTAGTTTAAGTAGTAAGGTTATATATTTTTCTTTAAAACATTATGGTTTTTAAGCATTTTCTTAAATATATTTTCTATTATTATTTAATATGCATAATTAAAATACTCTGCTTCTTATTATAAAGCAGGTGCTTTTAAAACCTACAAAAACCTACAGGAAGGAGAGAACAAGGTGATTCCCACCCAAGAATTAATGAGTGGGGAGGGGTGGGTGGTTCCCAGCCAGTGAGGGTGGTTCCTGAGTCAAAGCAAGGCTAATCTACGATGTAATGTTTTTCTATGAATCCCTAATTTAGCGTGCCTCAAATTTCCTAAGAGACAATATTCCAAAGAATTCTTTTTTGGAGGGCTGCTGAAGGGGAGGGGTTCATCCTCAGAATCTGCTTCAAGCTGACAAGGGGCAGCAGACCCTACCTACAAGGGGAAATTGTCTCTCCTATTTCTTTCCCTTGGGGCTCATTTGGACACAAGGTGTCTGAATTATTGTCCAGCAGTTAAAGTTCCTCACGCAGATCTGGGTTGCTCATAGAGATCGCATTCGTTTGTAGAGCTTGATAGCCCTATTGTCTCATGATTTGGGTCCTAAAGGCTTTTATTCTGGAAGAGATAAATCTGGTTTAGAAGGCACGACCTGCACATTAGCAATGGCAGAAGCATCAGAAGGGGCCCTGCCAGGTGTAGCAGGAAGAATAAAGAATCTAACCTTTCATTTTGAAAAGTGACAGAATCTCATGGTTACTTTATCTAACAGTGTTTATATCTGTAGCTATTTTCAACTCAGATGACCCTCTGTTTTGGACTGTCACTATAGTGGGCAGTTAAGGGCTGACCACATTAGGGGTCAGGTGTACCAGGGGGCGGGTGTCAGTCCAATTGGAGAGTAAACCTCAATGAGTCAGTTCTGTACAGAAAGAAGACTCAACAGCATCCCAAAGCAGAAGTTAGATCCCATTGAGAGTTATATTGCCTTTGCTTAAACAGAAGGCCTTGGCTAAAGACATGAGTTTGCCTTTTGCCAGAAGCCTAGAGGCTTTATGTTAGAGTACATGCATAAGAGCCCTTTTTAAAGTCTCTTGGCTTCTGGCTTCCACCTGGGCCTCACCATGCCTCCTTTTGTATTTCCCTTCTTTAACTTTTAATAAATTCCATTTACTCCCATGTGTCCTGTCATGGATTCTTTCCTGCTGGATACAAAAATTTTGCAAGTCTTCTGATCACAGATTGAACCAGTGCTGTTAATAGGAGTTGTGTGTGTGTGTGTGTTTTACTGGTCGTACGTATGGTGCACCTGTACTTTTTATTGTATTCATTTTATACTTTGGCTTAAGTGCTTTGTAATTCATTTTCAAAATAGAGTGTGATTTCCCTCCACCCCTCAAGTTGTAGCTAACACACAAATACCAGCAGATTGTCCTTGTGTCCCTGTATGCACACAATGAGATGGTGACTTAATTTCTAGCGGTCAGCATAGCCTGGCGCTCTCTGTACCACACTGAGAACCACTGGACTGAGCTCAGTAGGCCTGCCCCATTCCTGGTTCAGGCTCCATCAGTGTGTGTTTTGAGTTTTCTTTCCTTACTCTGACAGATGAGAAGCAACAATACTGAGCTGCGCTAGGACTGGAGCAGCCCACCTCTGTACCCCATCCAATGGTGGGGATTTTCGAGATCCTACCATAGTGGATCCCTATGGTATGCTATGTGTTAGAGTTGTTCTAGCAGCTTGCACATTGCAACAATTTCTTTCTTTCTTTCTTTCTTTCTTTTTTAGGTGACACTGGGACTTGAACTCAGAGCCTCTACCTTGAGCCACTCTACCAGCCCTTTTTTTTGTGGTGGGCTTTTTTAAGATAGGGTCTCACAGACTCTTTGCCTAGGCTGGCTTCGAACTGTGATTCTCCTGATCTCTACTTTCCGAGTAGCTAGAATTATAGGCATGAGCCACCGATGCCCGGCACAGTGATTTCTTTTTAATGGTGTTTGGCAACCTTTCTTAGGATGGGAAGATTTTGTTTTTGTAGAGATAGACTTCATAGCTTGTGTCACTATCAGATCGAACTCTAGGACCCATTGTGTTGGACAGACACACTTGGGAACATCTTCACAGTTGCTCTCTTAACCATCTTCCAACAAGGCTTGGAAGGACAGCAAAACCAAACACTGTTGCTGGTCTCGTGGAGGGGCCAGCTACAAACTGCTTAATCACTAGATTAATATGATATTAAGTCAGGGACAAGTGTTACCCACCAGAATTACACAAAAAAACATAGGACAGGCACATTTGCCCTAATCAGGCAAGGCTTCTATTAAACAGAAGCCCCAAGGAGGAGTAAAAATGAAACAAAGGAGAGTGGGTAAGAGGAAAGGATTTCAGGAATGTATGAAGGTGCTGTAGAGAGGGACCAGGACACTTGGGAAGAATTTAAGTACACTGTGGCTGGTGTACAACAGCAGAGGAGAAGAGACAGAACACATGTAAGTGCCAGGTCATAGGTGCGGGTAATGCATGTCATCCTCCATGGAGTCTACTTGCACTGTAAGAGGAGTGGAAGCCATGCAGGGTTTTCATCTCAGCAGGAGGTAAATGGTTCTGAGAAAGTCACTGTGACTGCAATATCGAGAAGGGTTACAGAGTACAGGGGAGATGAAGTATATACCAGGTGTAAGGTTATTGCAGAAGCCTAAGAAAGATCGCTGGGAATGGAGTGTTGGAAGGTACTTAGAAAGTGAGAGGCTTTCATGGTAGGTTAGGTGTGGGAGATGGACAGTAGAGGAATCCCTCCTTGATGAATGACTCTTGATTTCTGGTTTGCTTGCATGAATGGATGCAGGTGCCATTCATCACAATAGGAAGAGGATATACTTAGATTTGGGACATGTTGAGTTATGGGAGTGGGGAGACATCAAAGAGGAGATGTCAAAAAGACAGTTGGTACACAGATACAGGGCTCAGAGAAGACATGTATGGGAAGAAATATAGATGTGCAAGCATTATGCACATGGGGACATCACAGTAGAGAGGAGCTCTTAGGATGGAGCCTTGAGTAACTCTTAACCTTACTAAGTCAGAAGAGATAGGGCAGACAGAAGAAGAACCAGGTGTCATAAAGACAACAAAAAAGGACCTGGTATGTTGGTTCATGCCTATAATCCTAGCTAATTGTTAAGCAGAGTTGGAAGGATCACAGTTGGAAGCCAGGCCAGGCAAAAAGTTAGTGAGACTCCAACTCAACAAATAGCTGAGTGTGATGGTACACACCTGCCATCTTAGCTGTGCAGGAAGCATAATTAAGAGGATCGTGGTCTGAGACTGACCATAGGCAAAATCACAAGACTCTATCTGAAAAAGAGAAAAAAAAAAAAAACTGAACCAAAAAGAGCTGAGAAAGTGGTTCAAGTAGTAAAGTGCCTGCCTACCAAATGCAAGGTCCTGAGTTCAAACCCTAGTACTGCCAGAAAGAGATGACAAGGGAAGATAAAATAGCAAACTATGGGTGGGGGAGGCAATGTCGAGCCTGATGAATGGTGGTGATGAGAATCCAGTAAATAGGACTGAAAATGTCTACTGGACTTAGGCATCATTCATTAGCAGAGCTATTTCATTTCTGGTATGGGCTCAGGACTAGCCACTTTGACATAGATAAGATCAGTTAACCTTCCTTGATGTCACTTTGTTCACCCACAAAGTAAGGGGAACAGGACCAAATTGGTGGTTTTTAAATTCTGTTTGGCTAAGCAACTGCAAAGCATTCTACAGTCTAGGTTGTTTTTTTGTGTGTATGTGGTGCAAGGGATTGAACTTAGGGCCTCACACATACTAGGCAAGTGCTCTACCACTGAGCTACATCCCCATCCCCAATCTAGAGTTTAGATTGTGATGTCAGACTGCCTGGGTTTGGTTTCCTGCTTTGCTCCTGAGCAGCTAAGTACCCTGGGAAAGTCCCAGCCTCTCCCTGCCTGGGTTTCCTCTTCTGTCTAAAAGAATCCTAATAGGACCTCCTCTGTAGGCTCACAGAAGTACCTTGAACATAGCGAGTGATAACTACGGAGCCATTATTAGGGATACATTTCTTTAATTAAGTGAACTTAAGCTAAAACCTGTGAAGGAGAGACAAAGAGAAAAGACAGTGTGATTCTTGTTGGTTTTGTGTGTGTGTGTTGGGGGATGGTTGGTAGTGCCGGGGCTTGAACTTGGGGCCTCATGCTTGCTAGGCAGGTGCCCTACCACTTGAGCCACTCCACCAGTGACAGTGTGATTCCTCAACCAAACATTTCCACTCTGATGTACTTTTAATATATGATTATGGATTTGAGGTAAAATGAATTTCATTCTTTTCAAAAACATTTGACATGTTTCTTCCAACTGTACAAGTCCACACGTCCCTGAGCCCAATGCTAGATATATTAGACCAGTGCTTCTTAAACTTTAAAGAATCCCACGGGGGTCCTATCTGGTAGGTCTTGGAGTCTATGATTCTGCTTTTCTACCAAACTCCCTAAAGGCCAAGACTGCTAGTCCATGGACCACACCGTGTGGCAGGACTCTACAGGAACTCATGGCATTTTTCTTTTCTTTGAGTGTAGCTAATTGCCTGATCAGTGGACAGGGCCAATGTGAAGACAGGTTTGTTTTCTAAAATATCATTTCCCTGGTAAAGGACCCCAGGAAGGGGGCATTTCTGCAGATTAGCCCATGTAGTCAGTTATGGCATGGATGGGACCTGCACACCATGGTTCTGATCCTGAGGGGCTCTGTGCTAACTGTCAGCTCTCTGCTCTGTCACAGGTGTCTGCAGAACTACATTCCTGCTCACAGCCTGACCTTGTCCTGCCCAGTGTGCCGCCAGACCTCCATCCTGCCCGAGAAAGGGGTGGCCGCTCTCCAAAACAACTTCTTCATCACTAACCTCATGGATGTGCTGCAGCGGACGCCAGGCAGCAATGTCGAGGAGTCCTCCATCCTGGAGACTGTCACTGCTGTGGCTGCGGGAAAGCCTCTCTCCTGCCCAAACCACGATGGGAATGTAAGTGAAGTGGACACTGCCCGGGATCATGGTGGCTTTCCCATAGGGTGGGACTTGGGCACATCAGAGACTAAATAAAACATGCCTTCTCCTGAAAAATGAGTATTAAAAATGATAATTTAAACCAACGCTCAGACTATTTGGCCTGTTCACTTTCAGAATTATTTAGATAATAAAATCTATGTTTATTGTATCTGCTTAGCAAATATTGTTGGTATACTCGGAAGAGCAACTCAGTAGCTAGTTGTAAACTGGGCCTACTTTGACCCACATAAACATCCGAGTCATAAATTATGGATAAAGATTTAATGGTGGATAAGGTCTTTGACTCAAGAGTGGTTATTAAAATGCTAATGCATTAGAGCTGTTTGTTCTTCTAGTGAGGGAAATTTTTCTCGTGTTCCTTTAGATGCTGTTCCTTAATAATAAATGAAATTTGAAGCTGTGTGAATCCCTGATAATACATTGTAGTTTAGGAATTGCAAGCATATTTCTTGCTTCTTGCAAGCACAATAACTGTTAGAAACTCTGGAGGGCCCGTGCATGCCATCAAATGAGGGATTCCCAATAGCTCTGTAACCCAAGGGGACGGACAGGAGAACCGGCTTTCAGGTCAAACCCTTGTCTTAAACAACTTTGGCAAGTTTATTAAAGTCTGGGTTTCATTTCCTCCTCTGTGAAAAGAAACGAATGATAGTTTCCATGGTAAGAAATTATTAGAAAAAATGAAATACCTAAGTCCCATAGAGTGCAGAGTAAGCTCTCGATAAAGGTTAGCTATTAAAATTATTTCTTGGGCTGGGCCTGGTGTTTCATGCCTGTAATCCCAGCTCTTGGGAGATAGAGACAGAAGGATTGAAAGTTCAAGGCCAGCTTGGGCTATATAGTAAGACTCTGTCTCACAAAAAGAAATTATTTCTTGGGGGCTGGGAGTGTAGCTCAGTGGTACAGCATGTGCCTAGCATGCAAAAGTCCTTGGGTTTGATCCCCAGTAACTACAAAGGAAATTTTATTATTATTATTATTATTATTATTAATTTTAGTGCTGGGAATTGATCTCAGGCCTCATGCATGCTAAGCATGGGCCCTACCACTAAGCCCCAACCCTAATATTTCTAATTATGACTTTAGTCACTTTCCACCTTATGGATCAGCACTTTAAAAGTATTTGAAACTGCTTACAGAAAATCTCCCCTAAGGCAAGGAAGTGATTGTTAGAGCCATGCAATCATTATTAGTCATCCTCCTGTTCGTTGACCTTATGTCACACCCTTCTCTCTGCCCACTAAGCTGTAGCCCGCCTGGTTCCCTTGAGCGTGCCAAATAGTTTCCTTCCTCCAGGCCCAGCTATTCTGTTCCTTCTGCCTGGGATGCCCTTCGTTCCCTCCTTTTGTGACTTGCTCATTCTCATCTTTCAACATTTAAGGCAACTTCTTCCTCCACCTCTGAGGTCACCCACCTCTTACCCCACTTACTGTCCACCCTGTCACTTCCTTTATTGTCCCCATGTAATTACCATGTCACTTTTGGACTATTTACTTATTGATCTTCTGGCTTTTCTTCTAGAATGCAGGTCCAAGTGGGCAGGGACCTGTTCATTACCCCTTAGCACTGAGTTAGCATAGAAGCTAACACATTTGCCCAACACCACACTTGGCTCTACAAAAATACTCTGCAAAGTCAGTATTAGTTACCTTCATTTCATAGACGAAGAAACTCAGGCTTGAACAGTTAAAGCCACAAAGCCAGCTAACACATCATAAAAGTAGAACTGGAAGAAATACTTCCTGAGCTTGGCTGGCAGCCCAAACAAGAAAGACACACTGTGGATTACGTATAGAATTATTTGAGAGCACACAGCGGGAGTAATGACTGTCAGGTGTATTGCATACATTGTACTCAAAGGGAGAGTCACCATGTAAATTTTGTAAAAAAAGAACCTGAAAGAGATGTCCCCAAAAGCAGTTTGAGCATCCTTCTTGTGACTATTTCTCACATGGGCTCCGAGTGAATTGACTCAGTCAACCTCTGAGTGAGGTTGACTCTGCCAGGAACTTGCATTTAAGAACTAGCTCTGGGAGAACATGTCCATAGATACAAGAGTGTCCTTAAATGTAGTCCAGGCAGGTGACTCTGCAAACCCAACCTGACAGAGAAGAAAGTTAGAAGGAGACTTACTGTAGACCCTGTTCTAAATTTGGGGTGTGAAGGGGTGATCGAGTAAAATCTGAATTAGTGTCAATTGGAAAGGTAGCATCCCTGAGCAAGGTAAGAATGTGGTAGAATTCAGGAGTGCCTGGCAGCTGGGGGCACCTAGAGTCTAAGGACAGGAGGTGGGGGCAGAACGTGGGGGGTGCAGGAGAATTGCAGGAAGGAGCCTGAAAGGCAGATGGGAGAGATTGTGACCAGCTAGAACTATCACCCAGAAAATGTTTGACATAAATTCTATACACAGTGTGAAAGCATTAAAACTTTTTAAATAAGAGATGGATGTTTTAGTGTTCTTCTATGGAATGGAGTAGCAGAGTAAAGGCTGAGACACCAATTTTAAATGAGAGATAGTAAGAAGTAGTAGGATGGTATTGGTAGGGCTGGAGAAAGGAGGATGGATTTCAGAGAGAACAGTACCAGTCACTGGAGTCTGCCTCCCACACATAAAAAAGTGTGTGCTGAAATCTGTTAAGAAAGCTACTAAGATTGTGCGAACTTGAGTAATTAAAATTGATCACTACTGGGTTGAAAAGATGGCATGACTACATTTTCCCATTATTAAGCCAAGTCCCTGAACAATGCACTAAAATTAACATTGGTGATGTTGTGTGCTTCTGGAAAGACCACAAAGTGTCTCTTTAATGCTTATAATTATTTAATCAAAGAAAAAAATGGCAACATGGAACTATTCATAAAATATGAAGTAGAAATGTTCTCTGCCATTTGTGTGGGGTAAAGTCAAGTCTTTACCCAGGAAATTTTATAGGTTAGTGCACTTTCCTTTATTTGAAAAGAACTCAACTCATGAAGTTAGGACAAGAACAACAAAATAAATATGTGAAACACAAAAGAAAAGAAAATAACAGATATGATTCACGGTGTGTATTTCTGGATAATAAGAAAAAATGTAAAGCTACACAATTCATTCATGAAACACATATAACCTCGTTGACAAAACTTGGTGAAGATAGAACAAAAAGAAAACTATTAATAATTCAACTTATGATAGTAGCTAAAAATTTTTTCATTAAAATACCTTGACAAGTTCTTTTTTCTTTTGATGGTATTGAGGTTTGAACTCAGGGCCTTGCACTTGCTAGGCAAGGCCGGTACTCTACCACTTGAGCTACTTGCCCAGCCCTTTTTGCTTTAGTTATTTTTGGAATAGGGTCTCACATTTTTCCTGTGGTTGGCCTGGACCACAGTTCTCCTATTTATCTTTCTGTAACTGAGGTGATAGGCATATACCACCACACACAGCTAGGGATTAAGTTGGGGGTCTTCCTAACTTTTTGTCCAGGCTGTACTCAAACCGTGATCTTTCTTATCTCTGCCTTTCAAGTAGCTGAGATTACAGGCATGAGCCACTGCACCTGGTAGCAAGTTCTTTTTTGTAGGGGGAAGGCACTGGAGCTTGAACTCAGGGCCTCATATTTGGTAGGCAGGCACTCTACCACTTGAGCCATTCTGCCAGCAAGCAAGTTCTTAATATGTAAGAACACTTACAAGTTGAGAGGACTGTGGTCATTGCAAAAGAAAATGAGCAGCAAAGAACTCAGGAAATTCACAGGGAGGGTACAAATGGCTGCTAATCTACAAAAAAGGCTTAAGCTTCACAAATAATCAAATTGTTTCAAATTAGCTATGATTTTTTTTGGGGGGGTCCTAGGGTTTGAGCTCAGGGCATTGCACTTGTTAGTCAGGTACTCTACCACTTGAGACACGCCTCCAGACCAGCTACAACCAGTGCTTATGAGGAAATGTATTTTGAGACATTTTGTATGCTGTGGGTGGAAGAGTAAATTGCTCTTCCGGGAGTAGATGTCAATTTAATAAAATGTAATGAGTGTTTTATACAACCTCTTGTCTTAATTCCACTAATAGAAATATATCTAAAGAATTACCTAGATGTGAAGATAAAGATTTAATATATAAGTGTTATAGTTTTTATATTCTATTTAATTGGAGGATGGTTAAAATTATGGTAAGCCCATATAACTTGGGTAGCCATTAAGATAATTTTTGAGGGGGGGTTGTTGGGGACCAAACCTGGGGCCTCACACGTGCTAAGCATATACTCTACCACTGAGCCCAACACTGCTGTTTTCAAAACAAATGACGTTTGCCAAGGTATGTGAATATGTTCGTATGTTTAGAGTCTTTGAATTTGTAGGATCACAGTGTGCTCAGTTTTGTGCAGAAGGGACAAAGTTTCATAGGCAGTAGAAAAATCAAAGAGACAATTGTGCTATCCATCAGCCCAGTGCTTCCAAGAGCCAGGAAGTGGGATGATGGGCTGGAGAGGTAGAAGGGGTAGGACCTGGAGGGCATCGGATGCAGCATAAGGAACTTGGTCATGGGAAGCTATGAAAGGTTATTAAGCATTGGAATGCCTAGGCAAGATTTGCGCAGAGCTCTTCTCAAAGTCGCTAAAGACATGAGAAGGGAGATTCAAAGTAGAGGAGCCTGTGACTTGGGGAGCACCTGGGGACCTGCCAGAATAACCCACAGAGAGGCTCTGATGCAGGCAATCAGGCTGGAGAGCTGGACCACTGGCATGGATTGATGGCAGAGGCACCCATCCCAGGTGATACCAGGTGTGGGTGCCCAAGGAAGCAGTGGAGTTACCAAGTGAGGTTGATTCTTTAAAATTACTGTGGCTCAGTGGCAGAGTGCCTTGCCTAACATTTGCAAAGCCCTGGATTCCATCCCCAGCATAACAAAAATAAATACAATTCCTGCATTTTTATAAAATTGCACTATCCATCCCAGGAAAAAGTTTGGAAAGAGAAATCTGTTGTCACTGCCTGCAGGAAAAATTAGAATTCTTAAAGAT